TCTTAAATTTTACATTTTATTTTTTTACTTTGATAATGCTTTTCCTCTATAAAGGGAAAAAGCACATAAATAATTGACCATTTCTGTTCTTGTGTTCTTTTTTTTTTGGTACCGGGGATCGAACTCAGATCCTTGCGCTTGTGAGGAATAATTGACTATTTCTTATGGCTGTCAATCTATCTGTGATCCCATTTGGCACTCTAGCACATATCATATTGGGAAAGTTTCAGACACTTAAATTTACATGTTCATGATAATAAATGAGGTTGAGTACCTTTTCATAAGGATTTGACTAACTTCTGAAATTCCTGCTCAAGTCTATTATCTATTTTAAGGTTTGGCTATGTGACTTTTTCTTACTGATTTGTAGAAGTTTTAAAATATTCTCTGGATACCACTCTCTGTCCTATGCATTGCACATGTCTTCTTCCACATGGTGGACTGTCTCTACTCTCTCCATGCAGTCCAAGTGGCCACCTTCTGTCCTGCTGCAGCAGGTCCTGATGGGAAGCCATCCACTCCTCACCTCTCCAGTGCAGTATGGCTGTTACTGAATTTCCTGAATCTTGTAGCTCTTATGTTTTCGGGGGGGTGCCGGTAGGATACGGAAGTCCAGGTGGTCAAAAACAAAACAAAAGCCTATCCAAGTAGGAAAACATGGTGTTTCCCTGACAAATATCTTAAATGAACCCTTTTCAAATCAGTAGGACAGATTTTCTTCATGAGTTTACAGCTAACAAATACAGGTAAAGGATATCAGGTGTTGCTTTTAGAGTACATTGCTTCATGTAATGCAAGTAAATCAGACATTTCCCCTGATAAGAGAGTCTAAATCAGAAATGTAGGCCAGGTGAAGAGGAAGACTCATGGGAAATGAATAATGCAATGAACAGGAAAAAACAGGATGAGGGAACCACCTTATCTGAAAACAGAAGCCCTCTAATTTCAGGAATCTTACACAGTGTCTGTAACACAAGGAACAGAATACTATGAAAAAGGAAAGGGAGTAAGAATGTGTTTCCTGAAACTCAAATTTTGACAGCCAAAATAAAAACGTCATAGAAGGCTAAAAGGCAGTTGAAGCAGTCTGCTAGAAAGTATACAAGTAGAAAAAGAAAAGGACTATAGAAAAAATATGACTTAAAGGATCAGTCCAAGAGGTCTAATTTCTAGCAGAAAGAAAAGTTAGAAAACAGAAGAAATTATCAAAGACATAATAAAAGAAAAACATCCAAAAATGAAGTTGATGAGTTCAGGCAGTGAAAGAGCCTCCTGGGTGTACTGCCCAATCAATTACAAAAAAATTATTCTAGGTCACATCCTTATAGAACATGAGACTTCTGGAGTGAAAGTGAAGGTACTAAGAGTTGCTGGGTTTGAGGGTAAGCGGACGGGGTAGGATAGGATAGGGTTGAAAGTAGTTACATGCCAAAAAACTAGGACTGGAGTCACTAACTTTAGATACTGGCAGATACTCCATTTGGAGGGTTGGCCATTTTCAGCTTAAAATTCTGTATACTTCCTAAGTGGAATCCATGTGAAAAAAGAAAAACTAGATGTGTAAATATGCATAATATCTAACTTCCACATACCTTTTTATTAGTTACTGGAAAATGTGCTTCAGTAAAAGGAATAAACTGAGAAAGAGAGTCATGGCTAGAATCCATAAAACAGGAAATGCAGTCCAGAGAAGTGGCAAAGGGAAGTCCAAGGATGACAGCTATTCAGCGGCCTGGAGAGCAACCATTCCAAGACTGGACCGGGAGAGTGGAAGACTCCGCCGGTGGAGGGAAGGAAGGGACGAGTTGTTGGGTGTGTTTGGATATATGGGGATAAAGTGATAGAATAAGGAAAATCTGATGGACCGCTGCAGAGAGCAGCGAATTGTTATTGTACAAGACAAGAAACACTGTCAGCCACTTGGAAAGGAAAGGAATGGGAGAAGAGAAGACAGGACCAGCAAATGAGCTGGGATCCCACCCACCAGAGTTCATCGCTGCTGCTATTTTATTGTTCGTCTTTTCATGTCTATCTGTACCACATACTCACCTGTTTTTATAACAGTGGGCCATGCTGCATTGTTTTGTAGGTACTATTATTCTTATATATGTAATGGGCATTTTATAGTCTCAGTAGGTTATATGTTGAGTTCATTGAATGGATAGGCCATAATTTATTAGCCCAATCCCTGTTGCTGTAATCATAATTGCTGTGGTGATAATAAATGCCTTGGGTTCTATTATAGTGAAACAAAAATAGCTCTCACTGTGGACCAACAATGTAGAAGCTTCTGCTTCACATTCTTAATGTACAGGTGTGACCAAATGTCCTGTCTTGATTTAGGAGATTAAGCCAAGAAAGTAGCACATATAGAAGAATATTTACTCCTTGTCTACATTTATGCTAGTATCAGAAATGAATGATAAAAATCTCACCTCTTGTGTAATAGCTATAGTTAAGCTATTTGAATGGAAGAGGCTGCTTGTTATGATGTACGTAGTATAAAATACACTAAAAACCACTGGGCTGTGAGTTCTGTGCAGGTAGGGATCATCGCTTTTGTTCACTTTGTGCCTGGGTCATAGTAAGCGCTCCTCTATGAACAAAGAAACCAGTTAAACTAGTAAAGGCATTTTTTTAGACTTATGAAATTGAAGAAATTAGTAAAAAGTATTGCTAAAAAAAAGGTAGAGACACTTTACTTTGTAAAGGGCTAAATTAATCACAAATACCTGCCTTCATTTCATTCTAGTATCTGGTAAGAGATATCACAGGGAGCATTTAGGGTCATGAGAGGATGAGAGCCCCTTAGCTGACAGGAAGCCCCGGTGAAATGGCAGGAAAGACTGGCAGGGCTGGGCAGCTGGTGAGCAGTCAGAGCTCCGGTCCTCACTGCCTCACGCAGCGCCACCAGTCACATGCTGCAGTTGGGACTCACTCGCGCTTCCATCAAAAGTCAGTCCCTCGGTCACAGTGACTGCACAGTGATAGCACGTGTGGCTAGTGGCAACTGTGTGGGGCGGGGCAGGCGCCGAAGCTCCTGGGCACCAATCACACTGGTTTGGAAGATGGCACCTGTCTCCCCCGAGGAGCCCTGAGCCCTTGAGGCTCACGCTCCAGCCTGAGAAGGAAGGGCGAGATTGAGAAGGCGTCCGCGAACACGGGAGCGCCCACTGCTCACTGGCTCTCGGCCCTTCTCACCTCCCACATGGTGGTGCCGCTGGCTCCCCTCAGAGCTTTCCCTGCGTTCATGTAAAAGTGAATGAACAGCCGAGGCGCAGCAGATACGTAGGGAAAGCCTCCACGGTGAAGGGGTTTGAGAGAAGTACAGAAGCAACGAGCTCAGAGTAAATGGAGGCAGTCAGAGAAGAGAACCTCTGCACTGCGTACTGCCCTCCCAGATCAGAAAGCGTGCTGGTAAATCCAAGAGCAGTGTGCTGCGGAAGAGGCGTGTTCAGAGGCCGGAACAGCCCCAGGCAAGTTACACATGTGACCAAAATGAAGACTTTACTAGAAGGGGTGAGAGGCAAAGCTGAGGTGACCAGAGAAGAAGTAAGACAGTGCCTCTGAAAAGGTAAATTTTAGAACAAGAAAGGTAAAACCAAGTAACTGAGAACAATGAAAACCAAGAAGAAGCTGTTTTCAACACGACCGGAAGAGCTCCCAGAACTAAAGAATACAATAAACTGGACAAGACCCACATCAAGGCGCTTCATCAGAAGATATCTAAATCATCAGAAATGGCAGATGTGTAAAGTTTCCAGAGTTGCATACACACACGTGCCCTACAAAGAGGGAAACTCAAGTCGAAACAGAGCTTCTTATCATTAAAGCAGATACTGTATTTCACGTCAGGAGAGCACTGTCTTCTACATTCTTAGGGAAAATGATTTTCAAATTGCAGTTCTCTGGCCAGCCAAATATTGGTCATGTCTAAAGGTTAAAAGAAATCTTTCTCGTACATGCAAAGACTCCAGAAAATCTTGCTCTAGTGCAGTTTTCCTTAATCATCAAGACCGGTGCCCAAAGCCTCACAGGGCACCATGTGCCAGCCACTGCAAAGGACTCACCGACCAGCCTCTCCTTCACCCTGTTTCCCTTCCCGCTTCATCCTCCATGCCACAAGGCTTTTCCTGAGTCCTCAGACAGCAGGTGCCTGCCCTGTGTTCTCCGCTGCACTGCTTCTGACCCGGGTGTCTGCATGGCCCCTCCCCTCCCTTTATCAGAGAAGTCTTTCCGTGCATTTACATGAAATCGGCCACCACTGCACTGCGCCATCTACCTGCTTAGCTTAGCTTTCTTCACAGCACTCTCTTACCATAAATTCCATCATAGCAGGTAGTTTTTCTATCCTGTCCATTGCCATATCTCCAGTGCCTTGAGCAATGTCTGGCGTAATAGTAGCTGCTCAGTAATCTTAATTTTGAATGAATAAATGTGAAAGAGCTAATTAGTTTGACTTAAAAAGCAGAGGGGGTCTGGGGATTTAGCTCAGTGGTTCCGCTGCCTGCCTCGCAAGTGCAAGGTCCTGAGTTCAATCCCCGGTACCAAAAAAACCCAACAAAACAAACACTAGTAGGGCCGGGGATTTAACTCACTGGTTCCAGCACCTGCCTCGCAAGCGCGAAGTCCAGAGTTCGATCCCTGGTACCAAAAAAAGCAGTGGGAACGACCCAAAAAGCCAACCAAGAGAAACTAAATTGCCTGTAGTCTAGGACAGAGCAGAAGGTCTCAGGATCCTAGAAAGGAGATTGCCAAGAAAAAAAATAGCTCAGAAGAGTACCTGATGTGGATGTGTGATGGAGAAGCCAGCGAGATAGAAGGTTCCTTCAGGACATGCTCTTGTCCCACAGAGTGTGCGTATGAACATGGCTCTCCAGGGTCCTGTGTCAGACAGCACTGGCACAGAGGAAAGGGAAGTATGTGAGCACCAACATGAATGTGACGTTCATGTCTGTTCAGTATTCTGAATGGTTGCCTTCTTTGTTTTTTAAATATAGCTAATGCTGCCTACCTTGGGGCCCAAGAAATGATGACCATTGTGAAGAGAGATGATGACATTATAAAGGAACATTTATCTAAGGTAATCTCTAGGGCTGCAAGCAGTGAAGGAGGTGGACAGAAATTGGTTAAAGCCTGTAAGATCTCATGGGTTTATAGATTTACCGTCTAGTTCCACTTCAAATTAATGTTACCCTCGAAAGTTGCATAGAGTAAGAAAAGCTGATTACATTGTTAGGTGTATTTTGCTGTTTCATTGAATTTATTTTTTAGAATTAATACTTTTCTATTTTGACAGTATATTGTACTGAGAAGTCTCAATAATATGTACAGAGCAAAGGAGTTATATTGAACCCTAAATAAAACAGTCAAAAGTAACTAACATTACATATGACCCGATGACTCATGGGCCTCTTACTTGCTGTCAGTTGGAGCAGGACTGTTTTGCTGACACAGAGTAGTTTTCTGAAATATTCAGCATTTGAGTTACGCCTATAAATACTTAATACACCTAAGTGTGATAAAATAATCCCTGCCTGGCAGCCTTCTCTTACAGGGCGCAAAGAGCCCACAGTCTGCAGGTGCGCTCTTAGTTTACCTGCTGAGTTAGAATCTCTTCGTCACTTCCAGTCACTGGACTCCGACTTACCTGCACTGCTACTTTACATTTCTATGACCTCTCAATATAATTTCTTAAAGCAAGAAATGTATAACTTCTTTTAAAAATATTTTCAGAATACAGTATTGAAAACATTCCCTCAGAGAGGACTTTGGAAATGCCCGTCTGTGTTTGTCTTCTGGCCACAGTAGTCATTGTGTTTCTTAAACGGCAGTTGTCTGTAGATAGGAGATCTGAGCCAGAAGGAAGCCCTCCCTTGCTGGAGAAGGCTGGGGCCTCCAGAGAACTCTTTCCCAAGGACTCTCAACTACTTCCAGACACTGGGGGGTGTGAAAATACAATTTTCTTTTTCAGTAAAATTATGTGAGTCTGCCTCAGAATGCCTTTAAGTTCTCCAGCTTGGAAGTTCATAAAAACAATTCCACTCCCAGTTAATAATAAGACTGGAAGATGGTCGCTTCCAGAATTCACACTTGCTGAGTGACCAGACCCGTCAAGCGTTAGAGCCCCTCTTAGCGCCTGGGGAAGCCAGTGCAGTAAAATGCTCGTCACTTCTGGATTCTGTTTGTATGTTGTACTCAGCAAGAGGTCAAAGCACTCCTGTGCTAAGTTAGATCCATATGCAAGTGTAATCATCGCCTGTGAAGGTCTGTTCCTAGTAACTCTGTCAGGTCTGTAAGTTTACTGAAACTTTTATGGGCAAAATACAAGGTATAATGGTAGATGGCAGGCATTTCAAGGTTAATATTAACACACAGTCCCAGGAATAAACTTTTCCAATTCTGGGAATAGTTTTGTTCCTAAGAGCATTAAATGTACTTAGAGAATTTGGAGAAACAAACCACTGTTGAATTTAATGGTACACAGCTACCTTGCAGTGCATTGATTATGCTTTCTACCAGCCAGATTGGATCGCTCCACTCAAATAATACAATTCCAGTTTCTCAGTGAAACAAGATACAGAGAGAAAGGAAGTTTATTGCAACTTTTTGTTTCCATAATAAAAAAAGGAAACATGCTGTAATTTAATATTGATAAAAGTTGAATCAACATAATATGTCGCAGTCAGCTTAAGAAAATAAGGAAAGTTAGCAAGGCACGTAGCTCAAGGAAGAGTGTGGGCATTGCCTGCTGCCTTCAAAAATCCCTGATAATTAGTCAAGCTTGAAAAACAGTTCCTGAGATTAGAAATGTTCCTATTTTAGATATTCTGGTCATAGCTACTCTATGACGTTTCCCACCAAACAAAGCCATTCAGAAACATCATACCTACCCAGGGCTATCCAGAATGAGGAATTTTGGAAACACGCATTCTTACAAATGTCATTACACCTGTCTCAGTTACTCAACATAAAACAGTTATGAAAATGTATGTTTGTCTCATCTAGCCAGGAACCCACAGGAAAGTTAGTCTAAAAATAGTCTTTCTACTGCATCATGAAAAGGCCTTCTGATTCTCTCTTCCCTTTGGAAAACTGACTTACTATAATCAGCAGGCTTTGGTTCTACATTCTAATTCTAATTCTAATTTTTTTGGTTTCTACATTCTAATTCTAATTCTAAATTCTAATTCTTTTGGTTCTAAATTCTAATTATAATTCTAATTTCCAAATTCTGAATTTTAATTTTTCCACTGTCACATGAAAAGAGATTTTTGTTATATTATTGAGGAAAATTACCCTTTTGAATTCTGAAAGAGTCTACTAGGCTGACCCTCTTCTTCCTGAGGCTGGGAGCCTGCACCCCATACCTGACAGACACTTGTGTCTCTTCGCGGTGCTCCAGCACCGGGCAGTTACTGCTCTTTCCTGGAGGAAACGTGTGAGACCCACATATTTTTCCAAAAGAGTCTCCGTGGCTTGTGGTACCATAGGTCATGGCATTTCTTCACCTGACTCAGTTCTGCTGACCCCTGAACTCGGCTCCAGGTGTCTCCAGAGAGGCCTTTGCCAGCCCCAGGGCTTGGGAAAGGTGCCACCCCTCTTGGCCGACATGGTTCCTGGGTAAAGTCCCAGTGCTGCATATGTCACTGTGTTAAATCCTCCACCTTCCCTCTGCTCTACTGTGAGGTGAGGGGCTGTGTCGCTCTGCCCTGGGATTCTCGGAGACATAGTTCACAGAACCTGATGAGCAGGCGATAGATAGATGTACAGCAGATGGGTGGGCACAGAGCCGGATGGTGAAGCCTGCAGAGTATTGATTCCAGAACTCCTGTGCATGGATCTCTTTGGGTCTCCTGTAAAGTGTATGAACCCTTTCTCAGGAAAATGGTTAGTACATTAATACACAAGATTACAAAAGAAGTCAAAACTGTTGAAATACAATTATCTAAATATTTTTTAAAATAATTCATGATACAATAATATGTACATCCTTATTAATACATTAAATAATAATTAACAGTCAGAATTATTGTAAATTTATAGTGATGAGTATAATTAAATTTTAGTTATTCACAACAAATTTACTATTTTTCCAAAATTCCATAATTTTATAGATGATAAAACATAAGCATTACTAATTACATGGCTTGTTGTTGCCTGTATTGATGACTGAAGGAAATATTAAATTATATTATAGTTTAGGATTAACAAAAATAAAGGTGTAATTTCCCCCAAGTTTATGTAGCCCTCACTCCCACCCGTGGACCTGCACAGGTATGCAGACCCGAGGTTAGGGAGCTGGTGCAGCAGCTTAGGCACTGGCCTCAGAGCAAGCCATGATAAACTGCACTAAGAAATTCAGTTGTTCAAGAGCCACTGAAGAGTTTTAAGCAAAGGGATAACAACCAGGGTGATACTCAGAATGTTTGGCAGCCTTACAGTACAGTTACTGGCTAATCAGAACAGCCAGTTCAGAGGTACCCACTCAGGTTAGCCCTGAGAATGTGGTGAAGTTAACAAAAGAGAGAGGCATTATTTGGGGGGAAATGTGTGGCAGAATATTGGGAAATAGTGAAATTTTAGGTGAAGACTATTGATAAAACCTTTATAAGAATGAAAGGAGTGGAATTGGAAATGGAATGATTTAAGAGGTAGAATCAAAGGCCTTGTACAAACAAGATATGAGAAAATGGAGATGGAGAAATCTAAGGTTGTTTCTCTGTGTTTGGGTTTGGTGATCAGGAAAAGTGCAGGAAGAGAAGCATCGCTACGTTGTGGGGGTTTAGAGAAAGTAGTTTCATTGCGACACAGTACTTGTGTTAGGGTACCTGTGGGATGTCTAAATGGGTATGCATTTGGAAGGTAGCTGGGTGGATGGAGTGCAGCTTAAAAGAGAAGTCCGGGCTCAGTTTGGATTTGAATGTGACAGGCAGGCAGATGCAGCCACGAGCATGGATAGTGGCAAACTACAAATTGTAAGGAGAGATGTCAAAGGAGTGATCCTTGGAGAATCCAGCTTAAAGGTTTGGGAGGAAAAGAAGAGCCGATGAAAAGATGAGAATGGAGGGGATCCATATAGATGAGAACCAGGGTAGAATAAAGCAAAGGAAGAGATTCCACTGTACATTTTTGACACTCCGGTCCCAACATGTATGGGGGCTTCTGGGGGCTGCTGTGCTTATCAGGCATTCAGTGTGTCCAAGGCCACCCAGAGGTCAGCACCCTTTGTGCTGCCATTGTTGGAGACTACAAGGAGATGCATGTCTCACTCACAGAAAAATGAGTTCGTGTCTGGTTGTGAGCTTGAAGTTTTAATGTAAAGCTCACTTAGGAGAGAAATTCTAAACTCCCATGACCATCTTTGGCTCGCGCTTATGGAAACAGCTGGTGTGTGCTACTTCCAGACTGAATCCAAGCATCCCTGTCAACCCATAGGAGGCTGAGACTGTTCACAAAGAGAACAAGTGAGGTGCAGCTTTCAGAGGAAGGTGGGCCACCGTGGAAGGGCTGCCTGCAAGGTGATGCCTCGTCTTCCCTGGCCTTCCCCCGTCCTCCTTGGCATGCCTTAGCCAGAGGTGCTTGCTGCCTTTGCAGACAGCTCTCATGCCACCCTTTGCAGAATGGGCATGCAAATCCTGACATGCACACATCCCGCGTGCCGGAGCGAAGGAAGTGCTCCATGGACCGGCTGACCAGAACTGCCTTTCCCCCAAGCCTCGGTCTGAATGGATGGTGTTAGTTCTGCCAGTTGAATTGAAGCCTATCTAGAGTATCATAATCATCCTGGAAACAGATAGGTTTGTTTTTATCTTGACCATTTTGACCTTGTGAGCTTGACTTGAGGCAATTGTGTTAACACACCCTGGCGTTCTTCAGGGGGCCTGATTGAAAGGTGAATGTGTTGGAGAGCAGAGTCCTCAGTGTCGCAGCCTAGGCTCAGACTCCAGCTCTGGCACTTGCTTCGTGATATGACCTGAGGCTCCTACACCTCACTGTGCCTCCTTCTCCATCAGTAAAATTCGTTTAATACTAGAATCTATTCTATAGTCATTCCAGAAGTATAATCCTATGACTCAGACT